GAAGGAAGGAAGGAAAAAGAAAACTGCCTCAACAAATCAACTTTGTCTATTCTCTATCTGTACATTAATATAACTTTTCTCATAGTAATAATGCAACACATATTTATATATTCTTACTTAGACTTAAATTATTTTCTAACCACTCTCCAAGTAGCTACATGATCTTTAAAATCCTCTCTTTAAAAATAGCCATTTAAACATTAGAACATAATGCAGTTTATTATAATAGTTAAAAAGGATAATTTTAAAGAAAACAATAAACATTATATTTAGCTCTATCAACATATACAAACACTCAATATTTTATATCTCTTTGTTATAATTTTTGACAACGTTAAGATTATGCAATTTGTGATCTGTTTTTTTTTGTATAAAAATATGTCTTGAGATGTTTTTTCTATGGCAGTTAATGTTCCTGAAAAACACCGATAACTTTTTGATAGATTTTATCTATTCCATCATTTACCCATACTCATTGAGTCCACTTTAAAATTTTACATTTAGTTTTTTGCCCCCACTTGTTTCTTGCTATCAGGCATATCACAACAATCATTATCTGAATGATTTAGTAAGAAATTAAATGTTTGCTGTGTACCAGGTAACCTCAGTACTTGTTATGTGGCTGAGAAAAATGCAGAAAAAGCTACTTCTTTCATTGCACTTGCATTTTATTAAGTGGTATGATGTTAAGTAAATCAGTAAAGAAGACAAAAATAGTAAGTAAATAAATGAGGCAAAATAATAATATGTAGGAAGGACTGATGTTTGCTCAGAGACTTGTATGCAAAGTCTTATTTCCTTCATTCTAAATTCTGAGCTTTGGGAATCCCGTGTGGAAAAATATTTTAACATATTCAACATATTAAATCCATGTGTCCAAATTGTCTCCTACAAAAGTCACCCTAACTTATGTTGCCATCAGAAGTGTCTAGGAGAGTGCCTGTGTATTTATATTCTGACCAAATTAAAATCAAAGACTACTTCTCATTTTAACTTTCTATATAAAATTTTCTATAAGCCTTAGTTTACTTGAATTTTTTAAAATACTTTAAGTTCTGGGATATAGGTGCACAACGTGCAGATTTTTAACATAGGTATACATGTACCATGGTGGTTTGCTGCACCTATCCACCCATCATCTAGGTTTTAGGCCCTGCATGTATTAGATATTTGTCCTAATGCTCTCTCTCTCCTTGCCCCCAACTCCCCAGCAGGCCCCGGTGTGTGATGTTCTACTTGGGAAAATGGTTACATAGGTTAGTGAGGCCTGGAGATAAGTATTCTCAGACATCAAATACAATGTAAATCTACCTTCAGTTGTTGTTTGTGATTAAGGAAGTCCCCTCCCATTAGTAAGTACAATGCTGGTGCTTTATGCTTTGCGGCTTGACATTAGACATATAAAACCATCCTTTAAGCATCCCTTTTCCCAAAGGAAAATTTCATGTAGCATAAGAACAGAGGAGTGGCTACTAGATTCAATGCTCAATGGATTATTTTCCTGCATGCAGATTAGATTCTGCCCTTCTCCTGTTTCAGGATCACTGGTTGGAAAATAATTTGCTTGATAAGGAAGCCAGTCAGATAGGTGGGGCTGGTGAGCAAATCAGAAGGGGCGTCTTCTACAGCCCAGCCCTCTCCTGCCATGAGGTACCAGTTCTGATGCAATCTGTGCAAGTTGTAGACTCTGCCTCCAGAAAGGGATCCCTCAGATGAGGCTAATTAAAAGTCAGATTTGAATATCTGGATCACAGAAGAACTAGCCTGTGACCATTAATCAGGAAAATCCTGTCCCTTCTGATGTGTT